AAGAAGGAAAAGGGAAGGAGGAGGAAGGGAGGAATGGATGAAGGAAAAGAAAAGAAAGGCAAAGGGAAGAGGGAAGGAAGAAAGAAAGGGAAAAGGGAAGGAGGGAGAAAGATGGAGGGGAAGAAAGGAGGGAGGGAGGAAGAAAAAAGGAAGTGAGGGAGGGAGGGAGAAAAAAGGGAGGGAGGGAGGGAGGAAAAAGGAAAGGAGAGGAAGGGAGGAAGAAAACAGGAAGGAATGAAGAAAAAGGGAGGGAGAGAGGGGGAAAGAAAAAAGGGAGGGAGGGAGGAAAGGAGGGAGGAAAGGAGCAAGGGTGGGAGGGAGGGAGGAAGAAGGGAGGAAGGGAGGAGGATGGAAGGAAGGAATTGGTGAAGGAAAAAGGAAGGAAGGAAAAGGGAAGGGGGAAGGAAAAAAGGGAAGGGGAGGAGGAAGGAGGGAAGGAAGGAAGGAAAAGGGGAGGAGGAAGGGAGGAGGAAGAGCGGAAGGGGAAAGGGGAGGAAGGAGGGAAGGAAGGAAAGGAAGGGAGGGAGGAAAGGAGGGAGGGAGGGAGGGAAAAAAGGAAGCGAGGGAGGAGGGAGGGAGGGAGGGAGGGAGGAAGGAAGGAAGGAAGGAAGGAAGGAAGGAAGGAAGGAAGGAAGGAAGGATGTAAGCTGTGCCAATAAACTTGCATTTACAATTGACTGACGGTGGTTTTGTCAGTGACAATGGTGTTCAACTAGCGATCCAGATGTTTTGGGATTGGCCCCTACTTGGTCCTGTCTTTGCTTTCTTTTCCAAAGTCATCCTTCGTCTTTTTGCAGGTCTTTTTATTTTGCGGTTTTCTTCTCTTCTCTCTCTCCTCTTCTGCTTTTTTCCAGGTATTATTTTTATTATTATTTAATTAGATCATTAGTTGTTGTTTTTGTGTGTGTGTGAGAGAGAGAGAGAGACGTTGCATACATGTAGCTAATTGCTTTGGAAGGGAAGGAGGACCAAAAAAAGCTCATAATTTAATCTGTGGTGCCTGGAAAGCCCCAAAGCCTTTGCAGCTTAAGGACACACAGTCTGGTTGCATTAATTTGAACTGTCTCCATCTCAATAAATTACATTCCAGCAGAAAAATTAATTTTCAAATTCGGGCAAAGAGAATGGAAGCGGTTGGGAGAAGCAAGAAGCATGCTTGCCTCTCTATCATCATTAGGTTCTCCAAGAGCAAAGACGAGGAGAACAAATGAACAGATGTGTCTGAAGCACTTAAATATAAATCTGCTTCCAGCTATAATCCATATGGTTGAAGTTTTAATGCAGATATTTTAGTTTTGCCAGTAGTACGCATTGCTGAGGCCAGAATTTTTCCCCAGCTTATTTCTTGAAGTGGGTATTCTGATCTAGGCTTCCTTGGAAAGCATAAAACACAATCTTAATTCTGGGAAAACCTCTTTTATTTTATTTCCACGGCTGTGAATTACGTTCATTCACAGCCTGCAAGGCTTGGCAAACAGTCTTTCAGGGGAATGTTGATAAACACCCACCTTATCGCACTTGGAATGCAGCCAGAGAACGAATGGCCAAATGCAAGGCAAGGCCAAACTTGACACAGAGTCAAACAGAACTTTTCAAAGTTTGAATCGACCAGACAAACTAATTGCTTCCTGCAAAAGCTCACATCCCGTTCGCTCCTCTTTTATGTCCTATGGGAGGGGCCAATCATCTCCGAGGTGTGGCCTTACTCCTGAGCCAACCCTGCTTTCTCAATTGTTCTTGTCTTCTGGTAGTCCTGGGAACCAGTTCCATAAGCTCCTCCACCTCACTGCTGTCTGAACCCGAAGGCAGCTGCTGACTGCCAACCTGCCCTGGCCCCATCTCTGCCTCTGATGCAGAACCCTCCTCCAGATCTTCCTCAGCCTCCTGACGCAGCCCAGGTTCCTCCCCAACCTCCTCACTACTGTCCGACTCTGCTGCCAGCTCCATCAGCTGCAGGCAGGCCACAACAGAGGGGACTTGAACCTGTCATGGATGGATGGATCAGGGAACTGTAGAGTTGGAAAGCTGCTTTGATATCACCGAGTTCAGCCCTGTTCAGGGCAAGTCTCACAGGATTGCAGAGAAGAGCAACAAAGATGATTAAGGGACTGGAGGCAAAACATACAAACAACGGTTTCAGGAATTGGGTATGTCTAATTTAATGGAAAGAAGGACTAGGGGTGACATTAGAGCAGTGTTCCATATCTAAGGAGCTGCCACAAAGAAGAGGAAGTCAACTTATTCTCCAAGGCATCAGAAGGAAACACAAGAAAAATGGATGGAAACTAATCAAGGAGAGAAGCAACCTGGAATTAAGGAGAAATCTCTGGACAGTAAGAACAATGAATCTGTCTGGGTTCCAAAGATTGCACTAATTAAATCATGAGCCTCGAGCCATGCTTCAAAAGAATCCAAAAGATTTATTAGGAGCAACATGCCGGCATTAACCTAAATGCAGCCAACTCTGGCATACATAATTTACAGTCACCTGTGACCCTGTTTCCCCACACCCCCTCTGGGTGTGTCATAAATCAGATTCTCCAACGAAACACCATTCACGGGCTGGGTATCATCAATCACACTCTCCAATGAAGGATTTTCAGGGGCAGAAGATCCAGTAGCCTAGGCTAGAATCTTTATAAGATAAGCGTGGAATGTGCTTCTGGTTTTTATTTGCCGTACTGCTCCTTTAGGTTTTCCTCCCCCACACTTCTTACGGCAACTCGGAAGCAGGCATAGGAATGCTTTACAAGTTGACAGAATTAGTGGAACAACTGGCTTCCAGAAGTTGTGGGTGCTCCATCACTGGAGGTTTCTAAGAAGAGATTGGGCAACCATTTGTTGCCTGGAACAGTATAATCTCTCCTGCTTGAACAGGGGGTTGGCCTAGAAGATCTCTGAAGGCCCTTCCAACTCTGTTATTCTGTTAGATCGGTATTTCTCAACCTTGGCAACTTTAAGATGTGTGGACTTTAACTCCCCAAATTCCTCCAGCCAGCCCGCTGGTGGGGAAAATTCTGGGAATTGCAATCCACATTATCTTGTAAATTGCAAGGTGACAAGAGTCTGGTGCATCCATTACAGATGGTTATCCAGCACTGTTTGAAGACTTCCCATCAAATATAGCAGTATTTCAATCAAATAATAACAGTAAACCAAATAATTGCAGTTTTTCCAGCCTCTGTTATAAATTGCTTGTTTTGTTCAAATGTCTGCTTAATTAGATGGTTCCCATTATTTTTGAATTGGTGCTGGAGTGTGATTTTTATTATTATTATTATTATTATTATTATTATTATTATTATTATTATT